CAATAAGCCAACTGTTCAGTAAGCAATAATTTAACTGTTCAATATAATGTGCAAACGAATGCCATGAAACTACATGATAAATGAAGGATGCTATGAAGCAGTGAGTTGAGATTATTGCTTGCTGGGCAGAATGATGGTCAAAGAGAGATCGATGCAAAAGTAAGTGGCGAAAAGGATAATCCAAAAAAAACAACTGATATTTGTTTAAAATAAACACACAACAATGTACCCGTATGAGCTCTCAGTGATTATTGAGCAAGCAAACGAACACCCAAGCAAATGAATAAATCAGTGAACAAGTGATTCAAATAAGGGCATCAAATGTTTACAGATATATATCCGTGCAACAGACTTCAATCGTACGATCATCAGTGCCATGTCGAATTTCATCGGGATGTATTACAATCGACCTCAATCTGAGCTGGATAAAGATTACCCTGGCGATCCATGGCCAAAGAAATTCATTTCAGTGCCAGTTCATACGGTCAATCGATTCACTGATCATGTAAGTACAATGTCTGATTTCGGTCACATTCAAGACAATTTGCATTCGAGGCTGGTTCTGCTGCTAACTGCGATAAGTCTCGTAGTCCCAGCTGTAAGTCTGAATCAAAAGCCTTACTTCATCAAACCTGTTAGGAAATCCCAGATTTACTGAACATTGCGAGCGTCACAGCAATTGCACTGATTTTAGGGAAATTCAGTTGAATTTCAGAAGCATTGAGGTTCGTGGCACTCCTGTATAATCCCAAATGCCTAAGAATCTGAAAACATTTTTCCTTTATGGCATATAAAATTCATTTTCGTCACTAAACCAGCACCGTTTTGCCGAAAAGTTCTTTGTTCAAGCAGAACATTGTTTCCAGATGGGTGATCCAAACACGTATTGTCCAAGACAATTGGCGCTTATGGACTTGGCAATCAAGTCTCCGGAAGTACGAAAACTCGAGGAAAAGAATAAGGTACTTTATGGGTCGATCTGGAATTGGTAGGCGCTGAGGGAAACATCAAAAGAATTGCGTGTTATTGACAGACAATGCAGATCACTGCAAATGGACGAACTCAATTTTAATTGAAATTGACTGCAAATTGATTCGGTTTCGTTTCACTGTTTCGTGTTACTGTCGCTGTTTTTTGCAGGCATTCTTAGAAAAGGTATCGAAAATTTGTGGTATGAAGATTGGTTTGATGAGCTTGGTGATGCCGGTTGACTCGTGGTATATTGAGGTGAGCGATGATTTAAGTTGAGTTTGCGGTTCAGTTTGTTGGCTAACATGGTCGCATACGCAAATGTGCTGTTTTCATAAGCAACAATGCTCAACAAAGGCTTGAAATAGGTTGATGTGAG